CTCTGTATATCGCGGGCAAAGGTGCGACACAGATCTTATTTGTTTTTTTCAAGGCTTCATCTTTTTGCCTTCTTAGTCGGTTGAAAAGCTCTCAAGAGAACGGCCTCTTGGGAATATCTTCAACTTCTATGTGCTCCTTTCGGTTCTCTTCCAATTTGCTCTTCACATTGTCTCATTGGTATACATCACCAACCTGACCCATAGCTACGAAACGTGAGTGGTCCCATGCCGAGTCTGCTGACCACACCGTTTAATCCATGTTTGTAGCCGCGGCCCTATCGATTTGGAAGCAAAATTCGAACCTAGTCTTCTTAATACCGCGATATATCTCCTTGGTTTATCACAGCAGGTTTCGACTTTTGCCATCAACTTTCAGGTACGCTGTTGCTACTTTGCTAGACCCTGCGGAGTCGCCAAAACAATGCTGACTTCGGTCCATAGGGGCGGCCGTTCCGAGAGGGAATCCGTGAGAATTCGGCTCTCTGGTGGGGCCTGATTGGCGCGAGCGCCGTAGCTTTCTCTGGTGCTACAGACTTCATGCCTGAATTGAACCGATGGTTACAAATTGTTGAAATGAAGGAATCCGTGCGTCTTTTCTTGAAGCTCGGAGAGGAATTACTGATGTGCCGCCTAGTTCAAGTTTCAGCTGACATCAGTGATGATCATCGACTTCGCCGGCTGCTGGGTCATTGAAAAGATTTGCAAACGTCTTTTCGCTGACCTTGAGCCTAAACCCATGATCACTAGTGGCCGCGAACGCAGAGAAGCGCGCAGACGTATAGAAGAAGCTGGGCAGATTTCGACTGCTGCTGAGAGTCTGGCAGAGAAAAAGGCTCAATAGTAGACGTCCTTGGCTGTCTGATATACATAATCTGAGTCCATTCCATAAACTTTCTCGCATTTCTTGGCGTCATGTCATCATCAGGACTTGAAAATCTGGTCGGCGTATCGTTTATTGCCCACCTTGTTTATATTTACATGAGTATCCATGACATCTTTGACCTGTGTATCTTTGCAGACGGGAAGTCCATCACAAGGCTTCTTGATGGAGTGTATATAACCCGTGAGCGCGTTTAAATGTTGCGGGCATCAATCTTAACCACGCTTGGCTATTTTACTACGACATTTACTACGACATTTATCCGGAACATCTCTGGGCGGTATGGGGACTGTCAAAATCTCAGGACATGGTTCTGGTCACGAGCTATTTTTGCTGATTCCGAGTTGACTCCGTTCTTGGTTCATGGACGATGTCCTTCTATTGGTTCATAAATCTCCTGCAAGTTTTCTGTGTATGAAAGGGGAAATGGCTTTGAGTGCCTTAGTGTTATTCTGGCAATCGCGGAAATTTCTCGCATGCTCTACCATGGCTTGGAAAACTTTTTAAACCGTTGACGATGAAAGTCAATCCGTTACAGCCATTCTCAGAGCCATGCTCTCGCGACTAGCTCTCGGCATTCTTACACTAGTTGGACCAGGTAATTAACTGAAGTCAACCGGCCTCAGATTTCTAACGCCCTCCACTTCCATAGCCTTGTCACAATTAGGAGCAGCTTATACTGACCCAGTCAATGGCATTACGTTCTGGGGATTGACTGATGCTGTACATGGCGTCACATACGGCTATATCTTTCCTCTAGTAGACAACCCGACTGAATTCATCGGTGAAATCGTTGCCCCCATCGACACCCAGTGGGCTGGCGTTTCCCCCACTGGTACTATGCTTCAGAGCTTGCTTTTAGTTGCATGGCCGAATGGCAACTCAGTTGTGCGCTCTGCGAGATTTGCCACGTTCGTGTCGTTGATCTATCTAGTCTACTCTTTTCTGATGCCTCTCGGTCTAGTGACTACGTTCAACCCCTGTATGCTAAGACTATTGAGGTTTTGTTTGAAATTTTTCTCACATCATAGCAAGTTCATTTTCCCAGCCCGTCCTGACAGACCTTCCTACGACCACAGTCAACTCTACGCACTGGAGATGGGTCTATCGCTGCCAGGATTGTGTCTGTAAGTAGATTAGATTGCTAACCTTGTTTACTTTCTGAATATGTAATGCAGCATGGCCAACCACGACTGGTGGCACGAACAGTATTCCCGTCAACGGTGGAGGCGCTCCCGCTTGGGTGTTCTCCAGCATTCCTGTCGATGATCCATCCGACCCTAATAGTACATTCCAGGAACACACTGACTGTCAGTCCTGGTAGAATCATTTCTTTAGCTGTTGACTGACCTTGAGATTAGTTGGTTTCTATGGCTTTGATTTCTCCTCAGCTCGAGTTGACTCTGCCACCTACAACTGCTGGGCATCTGGAAACACAAATTCATGTGCCCCCACTGCGACCACGACCAGTACTACGACCACAACGAAAACTACCCCTACTACGACTGCCACTGTAAGTGGTAGTTAACTAACCTGCACAATTGCAATGCCAATGTTCGTCGCTATTCAGGCAACTCCATACGACTACATTGTCGTCGGTGCTGGTCCAGGTGGTATAGTCACTGCAGATCGTATTTCTGAGACCGGAAAGAAGATACTCCTCCTTGAACGTGGCGGACCCGCTACTTGGGAAACTGGTGGCACATATGGACCTACCTGGGCCGCAGGTCATAACGTATGTTTTATTTTTATAAACAGAGCCTTAAAAATGTTGACACATCCATTTGCTAGCTGACTAAATTCGATATTCCTGGTTTATTTGGTATGCCCATTCTCTATTGTCCTGTATTCGGACGTCCTCTCAACTCTTTGATTGTTCTAGAAACCATGTTCACTGATAGCAATCCATTTTGGTGGTGTAAAGGCTAGTAATCCTTAAATGCTTTTCAGAAGATGTTGATTGCTGATGCGAGAATCCGATCAGATATCACAGTGTTCGCAGGGTGCCTTCTCGGTGGTGGAACTTCGATCAATGGAGCGTGAGTAAACCTAGCTGACTTGGAATTCCATATCTGATTCAATGATAGTCTTTACTGGGTTCCCCCTTACTCAGATTTTGCAACGTCATCAGGATGGCCCGCCTCTTGGGGGAATCACCTTCCATACACTAACAAAATGCTGGCTCGTCTTCCGAGCACCGATGCGCCATCTACAGACAATAAGCGCTACTTAGAGCAATCTGCAAATGTCGCTGCACAGCTTCTGAATTATCAAGGATATCGTCAGTCGACCATTAATGATAATCCAGACGACAAGGAACATGTCTATGGATACAGTTCATATGACGTGAGCCTCCTCCCTACAAGATAGTAATGGTTATTTGACTTCGTCTAGTTCATAGGAGGGAAGCGAGGGGGGGCAGTTGCGACCTACTTCAAGAGCGCGAGCTCTCGTCCCAACTTCACATATAGGCAATATACCTATGTCCAAAATCTTGTTCGAAACGGCTCCCAGATCTTGGGTGTACAGACCAACGATACCTCCCTCGGCCCCGACGGAATCATTCCTCTCAATCCAAATGGCCGAGTTGTTCTATCTGCTGGGTCGTTCGGTACCCCCCGCACACTCTTCCGCAGTGGTATTGGCCCGACCGATATGATTACCCTGGCACAAAACGATGCAACCGCAGGCCCTAGGCTCCCTCCTCAATCCCAGTGGATCGATCTCCCTGTCGGCTACAATGTAAGATTCCTTCTTGCGCCGATTCCGAGCTCATCGTGATCCTAGGTCTCGGACAACCCTTCTATAAATGTCAGCTATACAGACTCACTCTATGTAATCTCACACTAATATGAACTCAAATGTCTCACATGATAGCTTGTCTTTACTCACCCTAGCATCGACGCATACGAGAATTGGGCCGACGTTTGGAGCGATCCTCGTCCTGCGGACGTTTCGCAGTATCTTGCGGATTTCAGTGGTGTCCTTGCCTCAGCCTCTCCCAGGTAACAGCTTCTCTTCCTGTGTTTGACACCTTTCAGACCTTCGTTTCCAGGCTCAACTTCTGGCGGGCTCTTTCTGGTACTGATGGTAAGACACGTTGGGTATGTCTTGATTTTGAGAAGTCGAATAGCCATTGAACACGAACGGGTATACAGGTGCAAGGTACTGTCCGTCCCGGTGCGGCCTCTGTAAATACTACATACCCTTACAACGCAAGGTATGTGGTACTCCAATAATAAAAACTCTTGTTGATTAGCGAAGCCAAATTTTCACTATAACCCTTTACCTGTCAGTCAGTGTAGAACGGCGATCATTACTTGCGATACTAATCTCTGTTAAGGTCGACTGGCATCACTTCCCGCGGTCGCGTTGGTATCGACGCAGCGATGACAGCACGACCTTTGGTCAATCCTTGGTTCAGTGACCCTGTGGATAAAGCTGTCTTAATCCAAGCTATCAATGACCTAGTGCTTAACGTGAAGAACAGTATGATTGGCCTTTTCTGTTGAGATCAACGGTAACTGATTGCACTCCAGTTCCAGGATTGACACTCATCACTCCCGATAATACTACTACTATTACTGACTATGGTATGTCGAATTTATGTTTGTAACTCATCGCAACGATACATTCACATTTTTTACAGTTAATAATTATGACACAGTTAGTCTTGAGCTAGACCATTTCTGATACTCTTCTCACTTGTCACGCCAGGCATCCTTGTGCTCGAACCACTGGGTCGGGTCTGCAAGCATTGGATCGGTCGTAGACGAGAACACCAAAGTATTCAATACAGACAATCTTTTCATTGTCGATGTGCGTTCAAATTTTTCCGATAGTGATCATCCTAACTCTTTCTCTCATGTATAGGCTTCTGTCGTACGGTTCTGGTGAATCTCATCTTGCTTTGAGCTGATTCTGTTCAAGGTTCCACACTTACCTATGGGTAACCCACATGGCATGTTAATGTCTATGGCGGAGCAAGCAGTAACGAGAATCTTGGCTCTGGCTGGGGGTCCATGAGGAGGGTAAGCCAAGATGAATAGCCGTTCCATGTTGCTAGTAGTTCTTCTTTAACGCAAAGAATGAGTATTTATATGCTTTCCGTTCACCATAAGCATTAATGGGGTAGTGGTAACCTGGGTCGTTGCCACTGGCGAGTAATTTCGACCCGCCGGGGGTTCGATTCCCCCTTAATGCAATAATAGGGGGGCTGTTCTTTTAAAGGCAGTTTTTTGGTAGAGAGGTATCACAAGTCATGGGATATCACAAGTCTAAAGTGGTCCGATCAGCAACGAAATTTCCATCAGCAGATGAGTGACCAATAGATAAATACTGGTTTGAACCGTAATCGGTTCTTCTTCAATCACGCCCAATGTCTGCCAAAGCTGCTCGCCGCGACCAGTTTGAACGTGTCTTTAAGCTCATCCGCGATGACCTCATAGACAACTGCAGTAAGGCAGGCCTTCCTCTCGAAGCTCTTGAGTGGTACCGCGCCGTATGATTCCTTGCTGTGTTGCGCCAAGTCTTTTCGCTCACGACATCTCAACAGAACCTTGATTATAATGTTCCTGGAGGCAAACTTAATCGTGGTCTATCCGTCATTGATACCGTAGAGATTCTGTTAGGACGATCTTTGTCGGAGGATGAGTATTTCAAGGCGGCAGTACTGGGCTGGAGTATCGAGTTGGTGAGCTTATTTTTTCTTGAAGTGGAAGAGCAATGTTCAATTTCCCGATATCAAGTTACAAGCTTATTTCCTCGTCGCCGACGATATTATGGACTCATCTATCACTCGCAGAGGCCAGTCATGCTGGTATCTGTCACCTGCACCCGCGGTTACCGCCCCTTCATCTGAATCCATTACGACCTCCGGCCACAAGCATCCTGCCGTTGGTATGGTGGCAATCAACGACGCTTTCATGCTTAACTCTGCGATCTATCATCTCCTCAGGAAACACTTCAAATCCCATCCGCGATATATTGACCTTGTGGATATCTTCCATGATATCACTTACAAGACCGAAATGGGTCAGCTTGTCGACCTCGTCACCGCTCCAGAGGGTGTTGTTGATCTCGCTCGTTTCTCACTCGAGAGGCATCGTCTCATCGTTACGTACAAGACAGCCTACTACTCGTTCCATCTTCCTGTCGCTCTCGCGATGCTGATGTGCAATATCCCGGACACCTATTATATCCAACATGCCCAGTTGACCACAGCGGTCAAACCGTACGACCTTGCACTCTCAATTCTCATCCCTCTAGGCGAATACTTCCAAGTCCAGGACGATTTCCTCGACTTCTCAGCACCTCCGGAAGTCCTTGGAAAGATCGGTACTGATATTGTTGATAACAAATGCTCTTGGTGTGTCAACACTGTCATGGGCCTTTGCACTCCTGAACAGCGACACATCCTCGATCGCAATTACGGCCGGAAAGGCGACATTGAGGCTGGGGTTGAGGGTGCAGACACAGAACAGACCAAACAGGGAAATGATGGTGAAGCAGGCGGCCTTTGCGAAAAACGAGTCAAGGAGCTTTATGAAACCGTTGGTCTTCGTAAGGTCTACGCCGAATACGAAGACGATGTATACAAGCGCCTCAATGCGCTGATTGACAGCATACCGGAGGAGGGCGTGGTTGCAGATGAGAATGGACAGAAGGCAGAACATCCGGGAATGAGGCGTGAAGTGTTCAGGAGTTTCTTGGGAAAGATCTACGGAAGAAGCAAGTAAAACCTGTATAACCTGAAATCATTGGAAATATCTAGATTGCTTAAGGATCTTCGCGGGCGTTGCGACATTGCCTCTTCTCCCATGTCACGTGATTATCATTTCCTTCCACCGCAACGCCCACTCTCCAGATGAGTGACTGTTCCTGTAACTTCCCCACACCGCACTACATAATCGCCACCATGTTGAGCGGAACTCCCTAACTTGTTTGGTCTAATCAGTTTGGAGGCTTTGCAGCCGGAGGAAAATGGTCAACTGAAATAGTAATTGGATTTAACTGGGTATATTAACATAAGAGCGCTTGTCTATCGTGTGAAGTAGCGGGCTTTGCGGCCGGAGGGCGCCCGTCCGGTGTTATGGCTTCTATATCATTCGTTTGAAACGGTTGGCAATAGGAAAAATACTCGCGTGCTATTCTCTTTTCTCGTCGCTGGCAATTCCTCTGCCTTCCAAGTGTTTCTTTCCACCACTCTCATCAAATGTATCTGCTTCCCGAGGTACCTTAGTCCTGAAGAGTCACCTAGTCGATTTTTTTTGACGAACTATGTGTTTACCACGTTTACGATCATGACTTTTGAACCATTCGACGACGTCGGGTGTATTTGTTCTGAGATTCTCGTGATGAAAATTAGAAGTCGGGTTTCTCAATATCCCTTGAAAAAATCGGGAAACCCATTGGAGAATATTCCGAGAATGCTATATCATGATACACAGTGTAAAAGATGGAAAATTCAGACAAATGAGTAGCTATAGTAGGCACTTATGCCTCTACAATCACTGCAAAAAATGGGAACATTATTGAGACAAACATCGGTGACATCCACATATCAATACAATACAAGAAGTAACCTGAACAACGACCCAAAGGGTAACTTAGAAGGGTCTTGTGAGAGGGAGAGACATAAGCGAGGATCAAAGTATTATGCCTTGGCATTAACAGAGCGTGAGGATCGAGCATCATTTCTGTCATGGTCTAGTGCTGTAGAAAATCGATTTGGGGTGAACGGCATGAACACGGCTGCATGAGGAATTGACGTACCCCTTTCCTGTGCCGCGATGTGGGCGGCACGTTCGTCAGCAGAAATAGCTCCGAAGATCACGTCCATCTCCTCGAGACTGCGGCCCTTGGTTTCGGGTATAAGGCTGAGACAACGTGTGAAGCTAGAGTCAAGACATATGTACGGATAAGACTCACAAAGAGAACAAGCCCATGGCGCCGACGTTGACGGTGGCAAACATGAGGAAGATCTTATAGCCCAGGTCCGAGATCATGTCAGGTGTAACTTTGGACACGACAAAATCTTATCAAGGATAATGAAACAATGCTCTCTAATGCAAATAAGGGAAGAACTTACTCCAGAGCCACTGTGAAGCGCTAGCAACTGATAGCCCATAGTTTCTTGTCCGGGTGGGAAAGATATCTGAAACGTAAACCCAGGGAATAGGACCCCAGCCCATGGAGTAGAAGCAAACGTATATATAAAGCATTGCTGCCATGGCCTTCGACGCGGGCGGAGGGGATGAGGGAGGGTTATCGGCAGAAACAGGATGGGTTTTGAGAATGGCGCCGATGATGAAGAACAATATACCCATTCCGAGAGACGAGACAATGAGTGATATGCGACGGCCAAGAGTCTCAACGAAGAAGAAGACGAAGATGGAAGTAGCAACGACCTGGAGCAACTTTTAGCTTAGAACCCAGATTTGGCTGAAACATACCTTGACAACACCGTAAATGCCTGAAGCAAGTAGAGAATTCTTAGTGCCTGTGTATCCAATGGAACTGAAAATCTGAGGTGCATAGTATCTATCGTGATGCAAATGAGAATCCACTCAGGGGAACTCAAGTGGAAGGTACTCACCCGACGGAGTTCTGGCCGCCCCACTGCTGAAGAAGGAAGATAACGAACGCAATGACGAAACGTATGAAGTTTCCTTTGCCAAAGAAAGCCTCTTTCACTCCAAGTCCTTGCCTGGCAGCCCGTTCTTCTTCAATTTGTGCCTCTATCTCTGCCATCTCGTGCACAACACTCTCCGAATGAGTGAATTGAGATCGGAGATAGGCAAGGTTGTACAGAGCCTCGTCGTTCCGACCGACAGAAGCGAGCCATCTAGGAGACTCCTTAAAATTGAGAAACGTGTGAGTGCCGTGAAACACTGACAGCTGAACATATCCATACCTTGACAGTAAACAGACCAAAGAACATGATTCCTGCTGGCACGAGTTGGAAGCCGAACGGTATCCTCCAAACATTTGGACCGGAATGAATGTGAATCCCAACTCCGTAATTGATAAAGTAAGAAAGCATGACTCCGATGGCAACCTAGGAAATGTGAGACGATTAAAAGACATCGAAGATGAACACGCACCATTATCTGGAAGAGACCCGTTATTCTACCACGTACTTCCTTTGGAGAGCACTCCGAAACGTAGGCTGGAGCCACCGCAGAAATCCCACCAATACCAAAGCCGGATATTACACGACCAGCGTAGATGAGCTGAAGGCCGTGATGCTTATCTTTAGCCACTGTTGCGAGGATAGCACCAATGGAGAATACGAGCGTGAATACAATCAACGTCCATCTACGGCCAAGCTTGGCTAGAAATATCGCAGAAAGAAAGGATGACAAGAATGTCGATCACTTGGAAGATATGAACGTACAAGAGACAGGAGCCGACCCAAGAGCACCAAAGAAAGCCCCAGCTTGCAACACTGATACGACATTGGATGACACCTCATTGGCGCGTTTCTGATTCGTTGTCCCATCCGGATTAAGGAGGCCGAATTCTTGCTTAAAGTATGGCTGCGACACTACACCACCCGCTATGCCAGTGTCATAACCAAAAAGAACGATTCCCCAGTAAGCTACGAAGGCCAGATCTATCCAAGACAAAAGGTGAGGTACAGCCAGAGGGAGAGAACACGAAAGGAGTCACAATATACACGGATATTCTTGAAATTCCCGCCAAACGCCATGGATTGTCGTCTGCGGGAGAGAGATGACTGACAAAATTATGAGATGGACACTTTTAAGAAGACATTTTGTGATGATGATGATTCTGATACCCGTTTGGTTTGGCATGTTGTGGGGAATAGGAGGAGACACGTGTACTAGTAACAAATATCGGCCCGAGGTTCCCTGATCCCCTCGAGCGTTGTGTGGCGTAGTAACGGAGGACTTTGACCACTGAGAAGTCTCTTCTTCACTGAATCTTCCAGCTTCACCTGGATTTCCTTCTGTCATACGCAAGGCATTGAATTGGCAGTAACGAGGGAAAACCGAAAGCCTGACTTGTAGGACCGAAAGATCCAATATTCGTAGCTTTAGTATGAGTGCTAAAATTACTTACAGAGTGGAGAACCCGGGTACTCAAAATGGAGGCTTGAAAGTAGTCACCTGCCAGAGTCTGCACCCACATGCGTATGAGGCATGCCTGACGAAAGTCGCACATGTGGTGGTGAAAATG